TGATTTCAACGTAGATAAACCATTCACGGAGACTGACATATGCAAACAATGTATCACTTCCTTCATTGAAAGCGTAGTTCCCAGAGCTACTTCGCTGTCAAAAATTGTTGCCCAATTAGTCCGTTTCCGTCCAGAATCCCGGCAGACAGAAAAAAAATAAGTTAGGGAAATGAATGGCAAGAAAACGAGCGATAAATACCAAAAATTACGTTAAAATATAAAATAAAAGATAAAAACAAAACAAACGAAAAAAAAAAGCAAAGATGCAAAGTTGAAAGAGAAGACTCTTCTCCTCGTCATGGTGACGAGTGATTGAAACCGGATAAAAGGTTCGTGTGGTGGGAAGCAGGAAGATGACACCACTCCTTCCTTCCTCTAGCTACTGCTTACTAGTTACTCTTGATCACACGAGTCACTAATGGAAAGTAATGGTCATTCGTGGTCGCTCATGGTAACTCGGAGTTACTCGTGGTTACTCGTGGTCACTTGGGGTCACTCGTAGTCACCACGGTCACTTGTGGTTACTCATGGTAACTAGTGGTCAGTCATGATCGCTCGGGATTCACTCGTGGTCGTTTGTGGTCACTCGTGCTCATTCGGTGTTACTCTTGCTCTCTCACAGTCACTTATTTTGGTTTTTTTTTTTAATCTAACTTTATGTTCTAATGTTTCTCATTAACGAGTTACCCTTTCATTCTATCGTCGTTTACAGGAGCTTTTATTTCAACAAAATTCGCACAGTGAGCAACAAGCAATTTAAAGATATTGCGTCAAGTATTCGATTCCTGTGAGTATGAACAAATTACTATTATTCAAGGCGGACGTGTGACTAAGCTTCACCGTGAGTGAATATCAAATTCCAAGGAGACAATGCCCATAACTCTCGGATTAGCGTCCCCTCCCCCCTCTTTACAGACAAGTAATCCAGTCAGCTTAATCATGCAAGTTGAGAATTGCATTTTTCACGTTGCCCATAGATACCTTTACGAGTGTAAAACCATAGTGGTAAAACTGAGGATGGGCTTTGTATATTAATGCACCGTTATACCATTATCACGCACAAGTTTTCAGTATAATCCTAAAACCAATCAGATCTGGCCACCGAGAACTTTTAGGAAAACTGAATTAGGGCTTCCTTTCAATGAAAAGTCTCCTCTCAAGTAGATTACAGTTGTAATATGGCATGTATACATATTTCGAGAAGTTAAGCATGTTTTACGTACTCAGTAACTAATTATTCTTGTTCAGATAAGTGTGACTATGTTGGGAAGGGGGTCTTGGTTGCTTACTCTCCCGTCTTCTAAAATGCCCTTTTTTCCCATTACTTAGGGTCCTAACTGAATGGTTAACAACGAAATTGAGGCAACTTTGTTCATTGACAATGGTATACTATTCCGTTCCTTCATGCCCTCTAAATCCACCTTTTAAGAGCTACAAGTCAAAGGGAATTTGTTCGATTGCTCTCAAATTTCTTCAACAAAATCCGCACAGTGAGCAACGAGCAATTTAAAGATATCGCGCCAAGTATTCGATTCCTGTGAGTATGAACAAACTACTATTATTCAAGGCGTACGTGTGATTAAGCTTCACCGTGAGTGAATTCCAAATTCAAAGGAGACAATGCCCATAACTCTCGGATTAGCGTCCCTTCCCCCATCTTTACAGACAAGTAATGCAGTCAGCCTAATCATGCAAGTTGAGAATTGCACTATTCGCGCTGCCCATAGATACCTTTAAGAGTATAAAACCATAGTGGTTAAACTAAGGATGGGCTTTGTATATTAATGCACCGTTATACCGTTATCACGCACAAGTTTTCAGTATAATCCTAAAACCAATCAGATCTGGCCACCGAGAGCTTTTAGGAAAACTAAATTAGGGCTTCCTTTCAATGAAAAGTCCCCTCTCAAGTAGATTACAGTTGTAATATGGCATGTATACACATTTCGAGATATTAGGCATGTTTTACGTACTCAGTAACGAATTATTCTTATTCAGATAAGTGTGACTATGTTGGGAAGGGGGTCTTGGTTACTTACTCTCTCGTCTTCTAAAATGCCCTTTTTTCCCATTACTTAGGGTCCTAACTGAATTGTTAACAACGAAATTGAGGCAACTTTGTTCATTGACAATGGTATACTATTCCGTTCCTTCATGCCCTCTAAATCCACCTTTTAAGAGCTACAAGTCAAAGGGAATTTGTTCGATTGCTCTCAAATTTTGACAGTAGCTGGTTTTACATACAAGCAATAAAAAATGTCTCCGAATTTTTTATCTCTAGATACTTTTTTTTCAAGAGCGATTATTGTACGATCACTCCACATTTTTTTTAATCCTATTTCAAAAATGTTCTGTAACCTGTCACTGAAATTGAATTTGGCACATCGCAGACATGTCTTTTGTAGCGCTTTGGCCCCGGTAACGGAGGAACACATTAAATTAGGGAAAAACAAAATTCGCTTTGACTTGTAACGTTCAAAAGGTGATTCGGGCGCTCGTATTTAGAAGTCGTGGAAAATTCGATAATTCAATTTTTTTCAAATTTTTTGCTATTCTCTGATAGCCAGTCCTATAAGCTCTAATTTGATATGGGGTTTAGATATCTACAGTTTGAACCGGACGCGCTACTTCGCTGGCACGCGAGACACCCCTGAAGGTGCTCGGTAACCTTAAGCCGAAACGGAGCTGCTAAATTTGCGAAGCGAGTAAGCTGCGAAATACGATACGCTAAGTTCTTCAAAAGACTGATGAAACGGAGGAACTGAGAAACGATAGAACTGTGGATCGGCGGAGCTGCGGAATATGTTGGGACGCGGAATGACCGAATACATTTTACGCATGAAAAAAAAGAGCCAAAAAAAATGGAATTGCAATAAAATAGGAAAATTATTCATAATTCACAAGCGAAGTAAAACAAGCATAGGCATGTTGGAGCCCAGGGGATTGGAAACCATGAGTCTTTCGAGCTAGCCCCTTTGTTATATTAACATTGTTAGCATTATTATTATTATTGTTAATACTATTATTTGTTACCATTTTATTACTGGTTGAATGTCAATTGGACAGTATATTCCTGAATCATCTTACTCTTGTGGAACAGGGTAGTCATCATTATGTGGGATGCGGCAGGTTTTCTGTTTAGCCTGTGAGACAAATATTCTCCAACTCTACGTGATAGCGTCTAGCTTTTTTTTAATGCTATTAAAATTTTGCTTCACCAGTGGCCACATACAGTCTTTGACTGTTTATTTTTGTTCTTGATGCCTTGCATCTTGGTACGACGTATTCTGAGTCTTAAATTCCAGCAATTCTTGGGCTATTTGATGGAAAAGTGTGGACGAAATCAAAACAATGAAGGTACGTTTATTGAAAACCATGTTTTTGGGAAATAAGGATTATCATTTTGTCGTGCATTGAAGACGCGGTTTCTCAAAACAAACCTGTTCTACTGAAGTTTACGTCAAAATATACTTAACGTTGACATCAGATCAAGTAATGTTTTGTACAACCTCAGTCTTCCGAACAATCACAGGCAATGAGAAATTCATTTCTCACTCTGAGCGATGCTTGGTTCTTATCAACCGAGCGGGAGGTCTGTGTGGGAGAATCTTGACCAAGGTCACCAGTACAGACCTAATGTGACCTAGCTCGGTTACTGAAGATGTTTATCATATGGCTGTGTCTAGAAAGCAACGGAACTGTATATTCTTTATACCTTTTTTTTCTAGACCGGTCTAGATGCCGGTCTAGATGGGAAAATCTAGACCGCTTTCAATATTGATTTCAGTCAATCAAATTCGTGAATTCAGTAGTTCCCAATCCTTGTGAGACACAGCCATATAATAACTAGAGTTAATTTTAATTAGTTTGATTTTCCTCTGTTGAGGGTACGTTAAGACAACCTGAAGGAAAGTCGTCATCAGATTCTTGCTGAGCGGATTTGCATATTTAAGAGTGGCCCTCTGTGATGTCAGCTTTCATTGATTCAGCTTAGCATTTGTCGTGCAAGGTTGTTTCACTAAATCTCATTAGTTCTTGAAATCTGATTAAGTTTCATTGCCACGCGATAACCTTCTAGTGATTATACCTCTGCATGATTATCTTGCATGATTAGCATGCCTTATCTTGCATGATTATCTTGCATGATTATCATGCCTTATGAACCAACTAACCCTTGGAGTCGGAGGCCAGGATGGGCGAAGGAAAAAAACACTTAAAATGACCGGAAATTAATTAATGGATAATTACAGGGGCATATGGCATTATGAGAAATATTGCAGCCAGCTGAGGCCTCTCATAATGCCATGTGCCGAAGTAATTATCTATTATAATTATTGATCCCCATGAAATCCTATTGTTCTGTGTCAGTGTTGGATCTTCGATTTTAGTCGCACCTATGTGTGATAATTGTGATCCTCATTGCTATTGTTCTCTGTTGTGATGAATATATCTTAGATTTTAATTGTGCCGAGGGTTGTTATTGTAGCTCGTTGTTATAGTTGTTCAAAACAGTTCTAATGATGGAATTATTTAAAATTATCTTTACTGTTAAATAGTGATACAGTGCGTCTCGTGCATTTCATTTATCGCGTAGATACATGGAGAAAAACAGCCTCGTAACCCTGCCACCGGATCAGTTCCAAGGCTTGTCCAAATATGAACGAGATGGCGGACGGAAATTATAACTAACTGCACTAGTAAAAATTCTTGACCTTACGCGAGATATCTTACCATCTGTAATCAATGTTCATTAGCGGCTGTCGTATTATTTGGTTAATTTCAATTTTCTGTTAGGGGATGTGGGATTGCGAAAAAAAAAAGAACACATACCTGAGGAATAAGTAATTCTAAATTATAAGCTAAATTGTATCACATGTGTGGTGTGACACAAAAAGTGACTTATTCCTTCACCCTTGTTCTGCTTAAGGTTTCGTTGAATTACTCAAACTAGTGTGCCTTGGCTGGCTTAGATTCAGAGACCTTAAGCTTGGAGGTTACCAGAGTCACGTATGACGTTGCTCGAGTTTGAATTTGCTATTACATCCAAGATAGCAACTGCCAACTCTGATCTCATTGGCATGATGTCACATGACAGAAAAAAAAGACAATTATGAAAATGATGTAGCAATTCTTTTCCATATATGAATCAGCGCGTATTCATCCTCGGATTAAGCGAGGCAACCGCTAACTGCCATTACCTAATTTTTTTAAGTAGTCCCAAGCAGTGAGGTATTTTCAATATCCTTTTTGGTGTCACATAATTTATAAAGATATTTTTTTACAACAAGACGCGGAAGAGTTGATAAAGCTATTAGAAGTTTTTTTTGCAATGGAAGTTTGCTTCTAGAGTTTTATGTACTTTAAGTAATAATGATCTGTCTTCTTTGTCGTTCAAGGGCTGTTTATGAGAACAATATTCAGTACCTACAGCGTGGAGTTTTTAAAGGCTTAACGAACATGCAGCTTATGTAAGTCTCTGTTTCTCATTAGCATTTTCAATCGACGCTAAGGAAGCACTGGAAAACTGGGGTCTTGTGAGAGTGCAGTCGTCGGCATGTTCTGCATCTCCGTCATTTGAGTAGGTTGTGTCAAAAGTTACACACGAGTGACCACGATTGACAGCAAATGACCACGAGTGAACATTAACAACCAAGGGTGAGCAAGAAGTTATATATTTGGCTGACATCATAATCTTATTATCATCAGGTGACTCCATCCAAAAACTTGCGACTTCAACGTAGATAGACCATTCATGGAGACTGACATTTGCAAACAATGTATCACTTCCTTCATTGAAAGCGTAGTTCCCAGAGCTATTTCGCTGTCAAAAATTGTTGCCCAATTAGTCCGTTTCCGTCCAGAATCCCGGCAGACAGAAGAAATTAAGTTAGGGAAATGAATGGGAAGAAAACGAGCGATAAATACCAAAAAATACGTTAAAATATAAAATAAAAGTTAAAAACAAAACAAANGGATGCGGAACGACCGAATACATTTTACGCATGAAGAAGAAAAAAAGAGCCTCAAAAAATGGAATTGCAATAGAATAGGACAATTATTCATAATTCACAAGCGAGGTAAAAGAAGCATAGGCATGTTGGAGCCCAGGGGATTGGAAACCATGAGTCTTTCGAGCTATCCCCTTTGAATTATTGTTATATTAACATTGTTAGCATTACTATTATTGTAAGAGATAGAAAACTTTTTTGAGAGACATGTTTCGGCATGCTTATGCCATCTTCAATCAAAGAGTAACAGAACGCGAGTAATTATATAATAGACAAGTAGATGAATAAAATATTTACATTATGATGTAATACAAAAGCGGGTACTAATTACAACGTGACACCAAACATCAAAGGTGTGAACTAAAACGTTGGGAAAGTCTTATAATGCTGTAATTGTTTGTTAAGTTCAAGTTCGAACTTATTTATATAAAAAGCTTCTTCGAGTTTTAAATCAATTGAGTTGTTAGCAGAATCCACAATACTAAAGCTAATCTTTTTCTTGGTTTCCACGAGGAAACATGGCTTAATAATTTTAACCATTCGACTCGCATCCTACTTTATAGGCGTTATGTTTACGACACCTTCTGTGTCTTCCACAATGATCATTTCTTTAGTAAATTTCCTTTCAAAACTGTAGAAATCCTTAACATAGTTGTGGCGGCAAGCGAACATCATGGCCGAACGAAGCGCCGAGAAAATCGCGACCGGAGAAAATAGCAACCAAGCCAGGGGATATGTTACGGAGACTTATCTTTTAATCAATCTCGTAAACTGTAGGCGAATTGAAAAAGGAGACTTATATAATCGATTGCACTCAATTAAAACACGTGGCGACTTAACAGCGTAAATAAATCTAACATAATGAAAAGAAATAATAAATGAACTAAGTACCACGGCAAACACAAAATATATAAACAAATAAGGATGAAAGAGCTTGCTCGAAATGAGATACAGGAAAATTATGACTAGAAACAGCCGCTAGACGATACGACGGCGGCGAGTAAATAACATACACACAAAGCATAATATCAGATCAAGACAAACGCTACCTTGCATAAATCGGGCAAGCTACAAAAGTGAGAACAAACGAATGCAACTTACATATCGGTCCCTATACGCCGGTGGCTTGAAACCAAAACTTAAGAAGTAAACTTAGGATGGACGCCGGACATGAACAGTGAACAGTAAAGGAGCTTACGATGCAACAACTAAAGAGAGAAAAACTATCCGAAAGGCTCAAATGGCACAAAAGCCAACTGTAACTGAAATGTTACGCAAATTTCAAGTCACGCAGTTAAAGTCACGCATTTACAATAGTCATGAGCATCAAGCCTCGAATAACTCTTGCTAAAATGGTGATGACGTATACATGTATAGTCAGCTGAAAGAAATGATTTTCAAATGTAGCAGTGGAAAACAATTAAAAAGACCATGACATGTGTTAAACAACTAATCTACTGACTCGCATGTATGTTTCAGCTGCAACAGCTCACTGAATTAATTAAAAAAATTGGTTCCTCTACTAATTTCTTTCCAAATTTACTAATGACAACATCATCTGTGTTTATCTCTTACAATATTGTTCTGTTTATTCTTGTNTTAAGCTCATTTTCCAGCTGTGCACATTTTAATTTCTGGTTTTGCAAAGTCAATTTTACTCTTTCAGGGTCTGTTTTGGATACAGGTGCTTTGACATGCGCAGGTGTCTATTCTGTTTGGCCTTCATGGAATTATTTGCTGAAGTCTGGTACTTAGAGCAAGCAGTACAAACAGAGTCATCTATGTCGCATATTAAAAACAAACATCCATGGGATCTCCAACTTCATTTGTAATAATAATAATAGTAATGATAACGAATATTTATACAGGATAGCCCTTCAGTGCAGAAGCACTGTTATCAATGGGGTCCTGTCCTTATAACATATTATAAGGATAAAAATATAAGAATAAGATAAGAATGACTACGCAACTAACTAAATGCCCTAACAAAAAAATTGATCTAAAGACTCCCTAGATGGTACCCTACTGCTAATTTGCTTGATTTTTAAAGGTAAAAAACTTAAGCTGAAGCTCCTAAAAAATAAAAACTTTTCCGAGCAAAGTGAAGTCTCACTTTCGGCAGAGCAACGGTGGTCACTCTGTTCCTCGTATTAAAATCGTGGTTTAAGAAATTAAAATATTCTTTGAAAGGACTACAAACATTGCCTTTTAGGCACACAAAAACAAATAAACAAGCCTTTTTCTTTAAAACATTTTCAATTGTGGGTAGACGGAGTTCACAGTTAAGACATTTTGAGTTTTGCAGAATAATCCTGTGACTACGTTGCTCCAGGTTTC